TCACTGTTCATACTGACTGAGGTATAAATATCACTGATTAACCTGAAGCATAAATGTCACTGTTCAACATAAAACATGCATTTCACTGTGTAACCTGAGGTATAAATCTCACTGTTCATACTGACTGATGTATAAATATCACTGATTAACCTGAAGCATAAATGTCACTGTTCAAAATGAAGCATAAATGTCACTGTTCAACATAAAGCATAAATGTCAGTGTTCAACCTGAAGAATAAATATCATTGTTCAATCTTATGCATACATTTCACTGATCAACATAAAGCATAACTATCACTGTTCAACATAAAGCATAACTGTCACTGTTCAACATAAAGAATAAATGTCACTGTTCAACATGAAGCATAAATGATTCTGTTCAACAAGAAGTATACATGTCACTGTTCAACATGAAGCATAACTGTCATTTTTCGACATGAAGCATAAATATCACTGTTCAACATGAAGCATAAATGTCACTGTTCAACATGAAGCATAAATGACACTGTTCAACATAAAACAAAACTGTCGCTGTTCAACATGAATCATAAATGTTACTGTTCGACATGAATAATAAATGTCACTGTTCAACATAAAACATGCATTTCACTGTGTAACCTGAGGTATAAATCTCACTGTTCATACTGACTGATGTATAAATATCACTGATTAACCTGAAGCATAAATGTCACTGTTCAACATGAAGCATAAATGTCAGTGTTCAACCTGAAGAATAAATATCATTGTTCAATCTTATGCATACATTTCACTGATCAACATAAAGCATAACTATCACTGTTCAACATAAAGCATAACTGTCACTGTTCAACATAAAGAATAAATGTCACTGTTCAACATGAAGCATAAATGATACTGTTCAACAAGAAGTATACATGTCACTGTTCAACATGAAGCATAACTGTCATTTTTCGACATGAAGCATAAATATCACTGTTCAACATGAAGCATAAATGTCACTCTTCAACATAAAGCATAAATGACACTGTTCAACATAAAACAAAACTGTCGCTGTTCAACATGAATCATAAATGTTACTGTTCAACATGAATCATAAATGTCACTGTTCAACATGAAACATGCATTTCACTGTGTAACCTGAGGTATAAATCTCACTGTTCATATTGACTGAGGTATAAATATCACTGATTAACCTGAAGCATAAATGTCACTGTTCAACATGAAGCATAAATGTCACTGTTCAACATGAAGCATAAATGTCACTGTTCAACATAAAGCATAAATGTCAGTGTTCAACCTGAAGAATAAATATCATTGTTTAATCTTATGCATGCATTTCACTGATCAACATAAAGCATAACTATCACTGTTCAACATAAAGCATAACTGTCACTGTTCAACATAAAGCATAAATGTCACTGTTCAACATGAAGCATAAATGTTACTGTTCAACAAGAAGTATACATGTCACTGTTCAACATGAAGCATAATTGTCATTTTTCAACATGAAGCATAAATGTCACTGTTTAACATAAATTATAAATGTCACTGTTAAACATGAAGCATAAATGTCACAGTTGAACATGGCGCATAAATGTCACTGTTAAACATGAAGTATAAATGTCACTGTTCAACATGAAGTATAAATGTCACTGTTCAACATGAAGCATAAATGTCACTGTTCAATATGAAGCATAAATGTCACAGTTTAACATGAAGCATAAATGTCACTGTTCAACCTGAAGCTCAAATGTCACTGTTCAACATGAAACATAAATTTCACTGTTAAACAGGAAGCATACATGTCACTGTTCAACCTGAAGCCTAAATGTCACTGTTAAACACAAAGCATAAATGTCATGGTCAAACAAATGTAGTGCATAAATGTCTTGTTCAACATGATTTATTAATGTCGTGTTCAACTTGATTCATAAATGTCTTGTTCAACGTGATATATAAATGTCGTGTTAACTTAATTCACAAATGTCTTGTTCAACTTGATTCATAAATGTCTTGTTCAAGCTGATTCATAAATGTCTTGTTCAAGCTGATTCATAAATGTCTTGTTCAAGCTGATTCATAAATGTCTTGTTCAAGCTGATTCATAAATGTCTTGTTCAAGCTGATTCATAAATGTCTTGTTCAAGCTGATTCATAAATGTTGCGTAACCGACCCCATTAATTCTGCTTCATAACCATTCATTTACACCCTTTTAAGCAAATTCATGTTTATACACTCCTTCTTGTATACCCTGACAAATGACCCATATTATAAACTTTGACACATAAATTCAGCTTTATATTACATTACAGTCCAATGCATTTATGCTTATGGGAAACCTGCGGCCTACATATATATATTGCTATTTTGTGCCAAATTTATTTGTTGTATTATTCCAGACATATTTTGCTGTCTTATGTGAAGACCTTTTTTTTTAATTTTTCTTGCTAATTATTGTTCATAAATGAATTTCCTTTGTTGTTTCGTCAACGATAGGTGATATTTACGAATGTAATGTACTTATGGTATAATTAATTTAGTCCGCCAAACAAACTGGGTGATAATGTATTGTCTGGAGCACACTGTTACCTAATGTGGAGGTGTGACTGTCAAACAATTGACGACGACAAAGAAGCAGAAAAAAAAGGAATAAAATGTAAATGAGAAGGAGGGGGAGAAAGGAAGAGGAGGAGAAGGGGAAGGATGAGGAGAAGGGAGAAGAATACGCAGCAGCAGTTGATGTGTTTAGATATTGTAGCTAACGCCTGTTCTAGCTCTGGTTCTTTTGTAATAAGTCACTTTCAGATGACGTCACACTGACAGTCCAATAAATTATAGGGTGGTAAGACCGAGTTTCCTGGCTTTGTGGTGCTTTTAACTCTTTGAAGCGTCCATATTTATGCAGGCAGAAATGGGTGAATCTCCTAACATCATCCAAGAATGTTATGTATCATCATCATAAACCACTTCTGCCGTTAAGCGACGTGGGGAGGAATAATTTACCATCCAGTGCATGCTATCTGCCACTGGCTATTGTCATGCAGTGAATGTGTAAAGTGTCTTTAATTTTGTCGATCCATATTTTCGTGGCCGTCCTCCTGTAGCTGATCTTGCTGTATTCTAGGTATGTTTGTTAATAATTTCAAAGTCACATACTTCATTTATCTTTTTGTATACCCCTTCCTTTAAACTTCACAGTCATCTTCATCGTCATCAAGAACATTGCCAACTGGCGAGCGCAATCTCTAACACCACAATTCATCAGTTCTTTTACTGACACTTCTCCATGCCATGACAAGATGCTGGCAAGAATCTTCTAGGATTGTCTTCCTCTGTCTCTCTTTCCAGGGGCTACAACGTGTTTCAGTTTCCCTGTTTTGATAACTTGGGCACAAAAAAGTGACTGTCTCCTTCCGTTGTTTGCGATAAGTTGTCTTCAAGTTCTCTCCTCTTTCAAAACATCTGGGTTACTCTGCCCAAAAAATGTACCCATTTGTCTGTCTAAAATTCTAAACCCTAAACTTAAATTATTTTCACCTACACTATTTATCCATCTCTTTCTTGGTATTCCTCTTGTCTTCCTCCCAGATATTCTGCTGTATCAAATCGCATTAGACTAATCGGCTATCCTCCGAATAACGGTCACAGATTATCGAGGCCGAAAATATACCCTAACAGGGCCTCAGTCACATGTAATTTGCGACTATACCGCCACCGGTGAGAGTATCGAGCGGCGCGGAGTGGGGCTAAACTAAATGGCTGGGACCCACATGCAAATAAAATGGAGGAATCTGCAGGAGATGCGGTAGCTGCTGCTCGTTAGTCCTAGCAATCCTAGCGTAGCGGCTAGGGGAAAACTAGCGGCAGTGACTTTAACTCTGCGGTATGCTGTGTAGTCGCAGGAAAGAGGTCCACAATTTACATGTGACTGAGGCCCTGTTGGGGTATATTTTCGGTCTCGATAATTTGGGACCGTTATTCGGAAGATAGCCGACTGAGCCATATGGGATAAAACCCGGTGCAATGAAGTCACTCCGCTCACCTTTACATTTACCTTTACCAGTCATTAGAAAGAAGACCATAACCACCCCTAAAGCACCGGTTGAAGAAACAGAATCTCCCTACACCAAATCCAGTTGCATTTATAAATTTACATGTAAGTGCCAATTGACTTACATCAGTCAAATGGAGAGAATGCACGAAAACAGAGTGGCAGAACTTCTTCTCTAAATGGCTCCACCCATAGCTGAGTGGAGATCCTGTTTCAAGATTTGCCCACTGTGAGAGATCCCAATGCTTCGATAAAAGGTTATTTCCAAACACGTATCTGAAAAGGATGGCGCCTTCAGAATTATTTCATCATCATCATGTGGCAGGTCCTTTACAGAACGTCGCTCTCATCCCGGTCTGTCTGAAAGAGACTCGGTCTTTCACCAGCTCTCCCGCCTCGTGTACTTTCATATTCAAGGAGTCACTTATATCCTGAGCCCATCTTCGTGTTTGTCGGCCCCTGCCTCTCCTTCCTGGTACCAGGCCTTCTGCTTTTATTTTTTTTTCCCCAATCCGTCGTGATGCTTGAAATGACCAAAATATTTCAGCTTCCGAGAGAAGATGCTGTTTATTAGCTAATTTTCCTTGATGTTCAAACCTTTTAAAATCTCAGTATTTCATTATCTCTTCTTTGTCCACGGTATTCTGAGAATTCAGAATTATTTTACCACACATTAATTTGAATAAAACTGAACTCTTATGTTTTATTAAAACACATAAGAAAAGCACGTGATGCAAATCTGAAGTTACCATGGTAATAACATCGCTGATCTTGAATTCCTGGTGGAGAGATGTACAGCCTAACTTGACAATGCGATTTATGTATTTCAACAAGTTGTTTGTATGAGCGTTGACTTTATTATATGTTGATTTAAGACGAGATACTGCGAAATGTGCTGGACAATAAACTTTGCGATGTATTGTTTGTGTGTCCACATTATTGAAACTCTGTGTTTGTTATTTTGCACAGGTGGCGTCTTGGATCACTTTCTTAACATGGGCCACCCAAGCATGTTTGTTTGCATTAAGATTTGTCCGAAATCGCCGAGCCATGACCAGAAGTCTGAAGTCTGATCCTTTACCGCCTGTTGACACACCGAAATCTTCTGACATGTCAGATTTTGCCTCTGTACATCCGGCTACATAAATATTCATGAACAAACTGCTGCCCAAACCTGATTTTTTAGTGTGTGTGTTTTTTTTTTTTAATGTCTGTGGATAAGTCGATGCCTTGCGTTGGTTTCGACAGTGGTATCAAGAAAGCCGATAGTCCAGTAAACAATGACAAACTACTGCAGTAGTGCCTCAGTCGAGTCAGAAGGCAAAGACTTTGTCAGCTGCTGTACCACGCAACCTGGTCGCAGTTTCCTCCTCTACGACAGACTTAGGCAACAGCAAATGTATTAATGAGAGAGTTATTTCAGTCCATCGCAGTGTATGCAGAAACGGGTGTAAGGTAACTACTATTCGTATTCGGCCCGACTGCAAGTATTCGGCCATATACTGAATAGTTATTAGGCCCACTATTCAGCCCCGAAGCGAATACGAATCGAATATTCGGTACAGTCCTAATTATTACTGTTAGTAGACTATTACAACATATAATAATACTGTTATTTAATAAATAGTAAACAAGCACAGTCAATATGAAATTGATATGTGCAATAATTTTTTCACCCAGAGCAGTTTTCTTAACAGTACTTACAGCACTACTAAATATGTTATCCTCAAAGTACAAACAGCACAAACAAATTTGTTCAGTTTCATCTTGTTGGATGAAATCAGTTCCTTATCATAGTGAATTTTTTGGTAACTGTTTAAAAATACATCACAAAACGATTAACAAAAAAATGAACACAGACCATACAACTGAAATATGCATAAGATGTAGATGAACAACCAGAAGTTTCTGCCAGAGTTTACAGCCAGTATTTGTGAAGCAGAAGACGATTCACAAAAATAAACACAGACCACACAACTGCAAATATGAATAAGAAGTAGATGAACAACCAGAAGTTTCTGCCAGAGTTTACAGCCAGTGATCGCGAAGCAGAAGACGATTCACAAAAATAAACACAAATGGTTGAGAATTAATATTAGTGTACTTCTACAACATATAATTATACTGTTGGTCAACAATTAGTAAAGAGGCAAAGAGTGACTTGCTGTCAGAGGTTAGTTAGTAAATATTGTTTTTATCCACTTACCCAGAGCTCTGAAATATCTTGACACAATTTATCCACACTGTAGTTGCACCATTTATGCACAGTCAATATGAAAGCAATAGTTTTCTTCCAACACAAGATAGTTTGCACCTGACAACAGTCAATATTCTACAGATATGGCTTCTAAATTACTTGTTTGTATTTTCCCCCAAATTTAGATTTCCGCATTCAAAGTAAAAAAAAAAAGAAAACACTAGTTTTAAAAAATCCAAAAAGCTGACTAGACACAGTGACACACACACATCACAACACGAATGTCTCCCGTGAATTTAAATTCAAATTGCTGTAGCTGTAATCTAACAGCAAAGTTTGAAAATCTTGTATATCCACTTCACAAAATCCGCTTGTAGATTTGTAATACGAATACGTTCAGAACACAGAACTTGATAGAGTCGGTCATGCACAATGCAACACATGGAAACAACTACCAGTAACCAATTTTCGAGGGGACTCTGCCAAAAAGTCACGTGATTTAGTTGGTAGACGTATCTGGAGAAGGCGGTGGATTTTCCCATCTCGGAAAACAGATGGCTACTGTAGGTAACAACAAGGTGTGTGGCAATGATTGTATACCGTAATCTCAAAAGGTCCGAAATGCTTAAAAGAAAAGTCGAGTAACGAGTTATGGTAAATAAGGCTTTTTTCCAGCAGCCGACGTGATAGCCAGTCAAGACAGATTAGGTTGTTGCGTATACTCTAGAGGACGTTGCAGAACCAACCCTAACAGCCCCTGGCTGTTGCGTGGTTTCTCTAGGCAAATTTACGTCCAGTAGTTTGCCATTGCTTTCTGGACGGTCGGCTTTCTTGATACCACTGTCGAAACCAACGCAAGGCGCATTGCCCGCAGCTGGGATCGAACCTGGCATCCCGGCATTACGAAGCGAAGTGTTCGCATCGACTTAGCCACAGAGCCGACCAAGACAGATTACATCTGTTTAAACAAGAGAATCAATATCAGTATAAGACTATCCACAATCGGACAGTTAGATCGAGCGTGGCGACCTGTTGTCGACTGGTGACATGCGACTACCGACCCGACATGCCCACTTTGCAGAGCGAAGCAGACTATCGAGCACGTATTTTCCGCGTGCAGAAAAGCCTAAGCCCAGGGAAGATAAACTTGGCGCTACAATAAAGTCCTAAAAGAGTTAGCGTAAATTGTGGACCAAGCTAGGATGAGGGCCAACGTGTGGGCCAGTCCTACCGTCAACCCCATGCACTTCCTCAAAACTGGGCAGATTTATAGAGGTAAAATCAACAAAGTCGCATACGCTCCATCAATACTTGAGTGTGCGAGAGACTGGTTACTGGCTGTCGACCTGCCTGGTTTCGACGGGTACCCAGAGTTAACCCGGAAGACAGGCCTAAGACCCGACACAGTCCTACTAAAAGTCTAAAAATGGATGTTTGTTCTTTCCTGTTGAGTTTGTTTATGCTGTCACTCTCTGATATTTGATTCAAGAACCGACATCACAGCACTCGGGGCCTTTCCATAAGCGCTCCGTCCCCATCTTCAGCAGCCAGCGAAGAGTTCTGATATTAATGGTGCCAGTAGCATTCTGATTAAACGTGCGTCTTGCCTTTCCTCTGAGCCTCGAGCATCTGCCAAAATCTCTCGACACTACCAACTGCATCAGTCTCTGTGGTGATCAATCTGCTCCTCCGCAGTGGACACGCTCTCCCACAAGGCACTAACCACGTCTGCCTTATCATGCATCAGTATTCCATCAAGCCGTGCAGAGCCAGCCTGTCTGTCCGCCTGTTCATTTCACAACACACCTGAATACGATATTAGATGGAAGAATAAAATCAAGAGATGTTCTGATGGGAGTCTCAGAGAGTTTACAACCATAACGAGTCAAGAGTGTTGAAATCAGTTTTTATAGTCCGTATGGTCAACTTCAGAGCGAAAGGACCGCCCATTAATTGTACCGCTCCTGTGCCCTTTTATCATCCCATTTAAAGACTAGTGAAACTGCAAATTGCTTCTGGCAAATCTCAGATGTTCACAGGAGCAGTAAATTCAGCCGCCAGATGTGCCAACACCACTAGATTTAAATGTCAACTTTGATGGAAGTCAGCCAGTCATTCTAACGCCCAAACATTTGATCTAACGAAATGTACAAGGTGTCGTTCTCACAACCATTAGTGCGGAGTAAACAAAAGTCAACATTCTGTTTCGAAAATTGATCAATCTTTAAATATCAGTGTGTCCACGTTGAGGTCCCAAGCATGAAATTTATTTGTTAACTGAAAATGCTCAAGAATTATAAAGGAATTTGAAGAAAAAGAGGGTCAACATTCTGTCATTTACGACGTTGCAGAACCAACCCCAGCACTTTCTGGCTGTTGTGTGTGCAAATTTACGTGTTTTTTGGCAAATCTTATCAAGCGGTAAATTCACTGAGATCAACACCACTGATCAAATGTCTTTGATGGAAATAGCTAGTCACTGCTAGTCACGCCATGCATTCTAACGAAATGGCTGTCTTCTATATTACTGACAGATGTTTGATTAGCCCTTTGAAACTGAATAAAATTAGTATAAAACGGTCGGCTCCCGTTACCACGGTCGAAACCATCGAAAGACAAACAGTCCGAAGCAGGGCTCGAACCCGGCACCCCGACATTACAAAGCGCATTCGCAACGCCTAAGCCACAGACATGAAGATGATGATTTTCAGGACACCGGTCGCCAGGAAAACTATCTCTCAACCGTGAAGAGTTTCCACCATTAAACAAGATGGAAGCTATATTTCATGAAAAGGTAATGATCCACATCTCGTTTGTTTTAAAGCGTGTATCCGCTTTGTTGTAATTCACAAATCTTGTAAATTTGGGTCTTTCTGCAGGTGTTTTTTAAACTGAGACACAATTTGGGGGATAACCACAGCTATTAATTATTTTTAAGTACGGTAATTTAACTTCTTGTGCTCTCCTTTCATCTTTGGACGGTAGCTGGTCGGCTTAGTGGGCGTTCTCTTCCTTGGCCGCATTGCAAACAAGGAGCGGAAAAGTCACGAATCAAATGAATACTTACCTATCATCATACGGTTGCGTGTAGGGTTGCGTACGGTTGCGAACGGTTGCCAAGATGGGGAAGTCTCTTCCTTATAGTTGTTTATGTTTATATAATATTCTGTTAGCCTTGCTGACTGGTGTGGGCGATAATGCCTCGCCACAACCTGCGATCTCCTGCAACATGTATCAGTTCGTGTGCCGACACACCTCCATGCCATGCAACAAGACTGTCAAGAATCTTCTTCCGTTGTCTTCCTCTATCCCTACTTCCACAGATCTTTCCAGTTGTCACAACATGTTCCATTTTCCCTCTTCTCATAACATGGCCGAAAAATGATGAATGTCTCCTTCTGATGTCTGTGTTTAGTTGTCTTCGGGCTCCCGCATTTTTCAAAACCTCTTGGTTGCTCTTTTTGGCTGTCCAAGGTATTTTAAGCATTTTTCTGTAAAACCACATCTCTGAGGCCTCAAGAAATTGTTTGGCCTGCCTACCGATTGTCCAGGACTCATCGCCATATGTTAAAACTGGGTGTATGTAGCAAGCAAGAGTTATTTTTCTAACTCTTAATGACAAAGGTATATTGCATAAAATGTTCTTTGTTTTATAAAATGCAGTTTTTGCCTGTCCTATTCTGTTTCTTGTAATCATAAGAATCTTATAGTTGGATAATCATTGTCAGTTATTGTGGCCGTTGAAAGATTTACATTTTTTTAAGAAAGCATGTTATTCATTGTGTAAACCTGTGTTATGTAAGTTGATATTGTTACTATTTGTTCTTCTTTGCATTCATTGACTGTAAAATTTGGTAGAAAGTTCTAGTGTTTTGTTCCACTTCTGGTCTTGATCCAGAACTCCAGAGTTTTGAATGCACATCAGTTTTACAGATCTGGCTTATTTGTAAGCAGATTGTTTGTTCCTTGCCTCTGAGGCACATGCACTCCATCTTAGATGGAGACACCCCTAATTGGTAAACGTTTACGACATGCTTCTTAAGGGGGACAGTGTATCTGTTCTTTTTACCCTCAGAATGCGCCCTTGGAAGCCATGCAGGCAGTTATTATTTTATTTACCTGTTTAATAGTGTTTCTGAAATGTATTATGTTGATAACCCCCCCCCCCCCCCCCTTCCACGAATCAATTTGCACATTACAGCAGGAGGGATCTCTGTGTGCCCAGCACTGCTTAAATGCACTACTACAGAACCAGTATTTCAGCGCCGTCGACCTGGCACAGATTGGTCGCAGACTGGATGAGAGAGAACGGGATCGGATGGCAGAAGGTGGCATCGGCACAAATGAATATCAACGTTTTATTGAGGTGAGTAAAGTTGTTGATTTTATCGTGATTTAGACTCGACCTTGGTAAAGGAATGAATATAAAATTGTCTATTAACTCTTTTCCGCAAACCAAGGCCTAAATGCGAATTACCAATGATGTAAGGCATTCTCTGCATGGCAGACTAAAAGATTTAAGATGAGACCGGTTGAAAAAGGAACGTCCTGGATGGCACTAGCTCAAGATACCATGGAGACGGTGGCCTCAGTCAAGCAGATACACACGGGGCAGGACTGGGTCAACATTAACACACACAACAGCAGTTTCCATCTGGCTATTATTTCGTTAGGAAGAGAATGTAGAGAGAATGGTGCAACGGCATGGCAGAATTAGAGCTACAACAACTGATAGATGGAAAGGCTGGGCTAGATGAGGAAATAGTGTCCACCGATGGTTCTATTCATTGGGGTGTGAGATCTGGCTGGGGGATTTTCAGCTACAATATAGGGAAAGATTGTGGCAGAAGAAAATGGAGCATTATTATCTACAACTTCAAGCATGGGAATGGAAGTGGAGGCAGTCACTGCAGCTCTGATTTGGATAGCAGACAACAAAGTTACCGGAGGAATATTATTGTGTCTGATTCTCATTCGACACTGCGGAGGGTTCAAAAGGAACTAATGTGGCATGAATGGATACCAAGCATCAGTATGCCAACATTGCAGGGAATCACGTGGATATACTGTCAGGGATATGCAGGAGTGCGAGCTATTGAAAGAGCAGATTTTCTGGCTACAAAAGTGAAAGCTATGGGAACACTCATACTGGACAAGGGAGATATTCTGAAGACCATATATGAACAACTTTTGGCAGAAGACACGAGATTAGATGAAATAACATGTGCGGGAATATGTGAACAAGGAATTAAGGGTAGATCCGGCAAGGAGAGACGTATGAGAGGAAAAGAATGACATGTGTATAATCAGTGTGCTACGGAAACAGTTAATATCTACACCTTAAGACATATGCTGTGGGAGACGGAGCACCTATGGGTGTGCTATGAGGTCGATTCTTAAATCTGTAAAATAAAAATTAAATCAGTAAATCCCGTAAGAATCTTAGAAAAATTACCTTTTCTCAAAATTTAGTTGAAAACACATCCTTAACTCTTTGAGTCCCAGAGGGTTTAGCATCACAGGCCCAGGGGGTAGTAAAGAAAGTAATGAAATCAGCGCATCTTGCGTTCATTGGGCTTCTAGGTAGGTACCTATGAACGTATGATGCGTTCCTAGGGACTCAAAGAGTTAATATTATCTGTAACTCTACTCTAAGACACTAAGGAAAGAGAAGAAGAGGCAGAATAAATTTGGGAGTCTTGGTCAGTTTTTATAAAAAATCCAGGGCTTTGAAGGTTGATATCTGTGAGCACACAGGCAAGTGTGAGGGTTGATATCTGTGAGCAAACAGGCAAGTGTGAGGGTTGATATCTGTGAGCACACAGGCAAGTGTGAGGGTTGATATCTGTGAGCAAACAGGCAAGTGTGAGGGTTGATATCTGTGAGCAAACAGGCAAGTGTGAGGGTTGATATCTGTGAGCACACAGGCAAGTGTGAGGGTTGATATCTGTGAGCACACAGGCAAGTGTGAGGGTTGATATCTGTGAGCACACAGGCAAGTGTGAGGGTTGATATCTGTGAGCACACAGGCAAGTGTGAGGGTTGATATCTGTGAGCAAACAGGCAAGTGTGAGGGTTGATATCTGTGAGCACACAGGCAAGTGTGATAGTTGATATCTGTGAACACACAGGCAAGTGTGAGGGTTGATATCTGTGAGCAAACAGGCAAGTGTGAGGGTTGATATCTGTGAGCACACAGGCAAGTGTGAGGGTTGATATCTGTGAGCAAACAGGCAAGTGTGAGGGTTGATATCTGTGAGCACACAGGCAAGTGTGAGGGTTGATATCTGTGAGCACACAGGCAAGTGTGAGGGTTGATATCTGTGAGCACACAGGCAAGTGTGAGGGTTGATATCTGTGAGCAAACAGGCAAGTGTGTGGGTGATTGCAACATCGTGACCATCAAATCACTAAAATAATCTTCTTCTTCTTCTTTGCGTTCACCAGCTGTAAACTCTGGAGGAAAGTTCTGGTTGTTCGTCCACTTCTGGACTGTAGTCCTGTTCCAGAACCTGAGTTTATATAAATTATTTTATTCACTTTTATAAGCTGATTATTTGTCTAAGTTATATTCATAGAAGCAGAACAAAAACAGTGTACGGGTTGTCCTCCCTGTCGCCATGGTAAACGAGTTTTTGTTGACACAGCTGTGTGGAGCAGAATGACATCATAATGTAAGCTGAGAAAACACCTTCATTAAATGGATCTTGCCCACTGTGCTGCTTGTGGTTGGGGCTGACCAAAGCAGCAAACTCCAGAGCATGTCCTACAGGATTGCCCAGACTTTGGCAGTCAGAGCGAATAAATCTGGCCCACTGTGCTGCTTGTGGTTGGGGCGACCAGAGCAGCAAACTCCAGAGCATGTTCTACAGGATTGCCCAGACTTTGGCAGTCAGAGCGAATAAATCTGGCCCACTGTGCTGCTTGTGGTTGGGGCTGACCAAAGCAGCAAACTCCAGAGCATGTGCCACAGGATTGCCCAGACTTTGGCAGTCAGAGCGAATAAATCTGGCCCACTGTGCTGCTTGTGGTTGGGGCTGACCAAAGCAGCAAACTCCAGAGCATGTCCTACAGGATTGCCCAAACTTTGGCAGTCAGAGCGAATAAATCTGGCCCACAGGAGCAACCCTATAAGATAAAATGTGGGGCATCTGTGAAGACCCATAAAGCATGTCCTGTTTATGACCAATATTGGAATAGACACAGAAGATATTGATCACTGAAGAAGAAGAAGAAAAGAAGAAGAAAACATCATAATGTGATTATTATTGGGCAACAAAGGTGTACATGTTTTTTGGATTAATATAAATAAAACATTATTAATTAATATATGACTCAGTCTTATTTTGGCTGGGGATGCACTAAAGCAGGGCTGTTCTATTAAGTTTACTTGAGGGCCACAATTTTGAAAAGCGAGATCGTCACGGGCCAGGGGTCTTGAGTCCCAGCATAGAAAGATCATTAAATCAATACAACTGGCAGTGGTCCGCGTGCCACTTGCTAAGCCTCGGTGGGCCAGATTTGGCCTGCAGGCCACCAGTTGAATAGCCCTGCAGTAAAGGTTACAAGGAAAGCAATTAAAAATTGTGATTTCAAAATACCAGAGTCTTGTACATTTTGTCTCCTGTGGCAGGAACCATCCAGTAACTACGATGACAGTGGATTTTTCTCTGTCCAAGTCATCTCAGAGGCACTGTCGGTCTGGGGGCTAGACATGGTTCTCTACAACAGCCAGCATCCCGTCGCACTACAAGCCAGGGCAGATCCAACGTAAGCAACACAGTTTCCATTATGACTTTTATTTTGACTTTTTTCCCCATGTGGGTTCGGGGGGTCACCATTGTGTGGAAAACAAGAACAGTCCCACGGCTTCTCTAACAAGCTTGTCGTAGGGTTTACTTAGCATGGGGGGGGGGGGCCTGGTTAAGTTGTGTTTGTTATATGATGAAGCTTGCTGATATACTTTTCGTTCGGTTTTATCTATTTCCTTCAAGTTGGAGTGCATCTGCCTGAATGGCAAGGAACAACCAACTGCACACAATTAGAATGGATGTACATGCAAAACTCAGGCCCTGGCACACAGCCAAAGTCCAAATGGATGAACAACTTAGACTTTCTACCAGAGCTTACAGCAGGGAAACAAAGAAGACGAAGAAGATGACTTTTCTAATTTACATACAGAACCCTGACAGCTCTCACTTACATACAGAATCCTGACAGCTCTCACTTACATACAGAATCCTGACAGCTCTCACTTACATACAGAATCCTGACAGCTCTCACTTACATACAGAATCCTGACAGCTCTCACTTACATACAGAATCCTGACAGCTCTCACTTACATACAGAATCCTGACAGCTCTCACTTACATACAGAATCCTGACAGCTCTCATCTACATACAGAATCCTGACAGCTCTCACTTACATACAGAATCCTGACAGCTCTCATCTACATACAGAACCCTGACAGCTCTCACTTACATACAGAACCCTGACAGCTCTCACTTACATACAGAATCCTGACAGCTCTCACTTACATACAGAACCCTGACAGCTCTCACTTACATACAGAATCCTGACAGCTCTCACTTACATACAGAATCCTGACAGCTCTCACTTACATACAGAATCCTGACAGCTCTCACTTACATACAGAATCCTGACAGCTCTCATCTACATTCTTGCAAAGTTGACTCTTTCATAAATTTATTGTTCACAGATAAAATTTATGTTTTATTCGTCTTGTACCCTTCATTCCCCAGTGGTGTACTGGTTAAGTTAGCATGTTTCCTCATGGACTGTTAGAGTTAGAATCTTTGTATGCGTACTGGTTAAGTTAGCATGTTTCCTCATGGACTGTTAAAGTTAGAATCTTTGTATGCGTACTGGTTAAGTTAGCATGTTTCTACATAGACTGGTTAAGTTAGAATCTTTGTATGCGTACTGGTTAAGTTAGCATGTTTCTACATAGACTGGTTAAGTTAGCATGTTTCCTCATGGACTGTTAAAGTTAGAATCTTTGTATGCATACTGGTTAAATTAGCATGTTTCTATATAGACTGGTTAAGTTAGAATCTGTGTATGCGTACTGGTCAAGTTAGCATGTTTCTACATGGACTGGTTAAGTTAGCATGTTTTTACATGGACTGGTTAAGTTAGCATGTTTTTGCAACAGCTGCTTAAGTTAGTAGATTTTTTAAAGAACTGGTTGAACCAAGACGTTTCTTTGAACTATTTCAGCCAATATGTTTTTCTGGACTGGTTAAGTTAGCATGTTTTTGCAACAGCTGCTTAAGTTAGTAGATTTGTTTAAGAACTGGTTGAACCAAGACGTTTCTTTGAACTATTTCAGCCAATATGTTTCTTTGGACTGGTTAAGTTAGCATGTTTTTGCAACAGCTGCTTAAGTTAGTAGATTTGTTTAAGAACTGGTTGAACCAAGACGTTTCTTTGAACTATTTCAGCCAATATGTTTCTCTGGACTGGTTAAGTTAGCATGTTTTTGCAACAGCTGCTTAAGTTAGTAGATTTTTATAAGAACTGGTTGAACCAAGACGTTTCTTTGAACTATTTCAGCCAATATGTTTCTCTGGACTGGTTAAGTTAGCATGTTTTGCAACAGCTGCTTAAGTTAGTAGATTTGTTTTAAGAACTGGTTGAACCAAGACGTTTCTTTGAACTATTTCAGCCAATATGTTTCTCTGGACTGGTTAAGTTAGCATGTTTTTGCAACAGCTGCTCAAGTTAGTAGATTTGTTTAAGAACTGGTTGAACCAAGACGTTTCTTTGAACTATTTCAGCCAATATGTTTCTCTGGACTGGTTAAGTTAGCATGTTTTTGCAACAGCTGCTTAAGTTAGTAGATTTGTTTAAGAACTGGTTGAACCAAGACGTTTCTTTGAACTATTTCAGCCAATATGTTTCTCTGGACTGGTTAAGTTAGCATGTTTTTGCAACAGCTGCTTAAGTTAGTAGATTTGTTTAAGAACTGGTTGAACCAAGGCGTTTCTTTGAACTATTTCAGCCAATATGTTTCTCTGGACTGGTTAAGTTAGCATGTTTTTGCAACAGCTGCTTAAGTTAGTAGATTTGTTTAAGAACTGGTTGAACCAAGACGTTTCTTTGAACTATTTCAGCCAATATGTTTCTCTTTTGAACTGGACTGGTTAAGTTAGCATGTTTTTTGCAACAGCTGCTTAAGTTAGTAGATTTGTTTAAGAACTGGTTGAAAACCAAGACGTTTCTCGTGGTTCAACTTAAACAGTTTGTTGTCCGGACCAGAGCTCATCTCAGACACATACTTGTCTCTCTTTCTGACCCAGTTACAACAGGAAGGTCAGTCAGTGCTTGTAGTCTGGGTTTTTATATAGGATAGCGGAGACAGGTTGTATATGATGGGGGGGGGGGGGGTTGTGGATGTGAAGTAGGTGCTGGTATGAAAAAAGACGTGAAGTGGGTATTGGGGAAGAGGGAGAGTTTGAGGTGAGAAGGGAGAAAGAGGCAAGGTCGGTTTGGGAAGAGAGATATGGATATGTGAGGTGGATGTGTGGGAAGAGTTGTTGTTTTGGGGAGAAAAGTGAGGCAGGAGAAGGGTGTTTTGGGTACAGGGAGAGAGGTGGGTGGGTATTTGGAGAGAGAGAGACAAACTTGTTATGAAGAGAGAGATAGAGAGAGTGATGTAGGTATTAGAAGAGAGAGAGAGAGCCAAGCTTGGTATGGAGAGAGAGGGGTGAGGTGGGTGTCTGAGATGTCAAATGGGTACAAATTCATAAATGACTCTCCACAAGCAACAGTTGTCCCTCCTCAGGTTACTCAATATTTATAGTGACTGGGCAGCTGCCTGAGTGCGAAGCTGACCAACTGCTGCGACTGATGCCTGCTGTCCAGACCATCAAGCCGAGGTTGCTGACGGAGAAAGAGGAGTGGGACGGAGCCAACAACGAGGATCCTGAAGACCCTGTGTTGACAGAAGCTTTACAAGCCAGCAGAGATTTGATTGATAGTGATGACACGGCCCTACAGCGAGCCTTACAGTTAAGCTTGGAAGGTAACTGGACAGCTAATTATTCTGCTTCATCACTGCCTCTTTTTACCACTTTGAGCGTTGAGAGGGACGTAAGGTTCTGCTCTCAATCTGTGTACGTCTCATTGTGGGGAAAACAAGAATAGATCCACTGCCTACTTAAAAGCATGGCTTAGGATTTGACTAACTGGAAGCTTACTTCGAAAGTCAGAGTGCATCTGCCTGAGAGGCAAGGTACCAGCAGTCTGCATACAGGTAATCCAGATCTGTTGAACAGATGTACACGCAACATTCAGGTTCTGGATCAAGACTTAAGTCTTGAAGTGGACGAATAACCAGAACTTTCCGCCATAGTTTACGGCCAGTGAAGAAGAATCTGTGTACGTTTAATTATTGTACATAATGTGAAAAATACGTTATATTGACTCTGTTGCGTCATTTCCAGGAATGGTTTGCCCCTAGGAATATAATCTTTCTTTATAAAAAGATAAAATTTACCGTTTCACCCTGAGAAGTCGGGAGATGGGAACCAGCGTCATTGCACACGGTTATAAGCCATAAGTGCTCTGCCACCAGTACGGACAGCTGATAAGAATTGTCCCCCGTGTCGCCCTCCGCAGGTAACTCTGTAGCTACAGCGACATTCCTAAATTTACCCCAGAGTATCACTCTGGTACCCATTTTCTTGAGGCTGGGTGAACCCCGGGAGCCGCCCGGTTTCGAACACTGACCGTGGGCTGCAGCAAGTCGCAGCTGGATTTGAAAGCGACTCTCCTATCGACTGCGATAACGCTGAGTAATATCAGCACACACATAATACCTTGTTGCCCACCCCTACAGGCTATCATGCAGGCTCTGCTTGTGTTAAAGACATCCGACCAGTTGTCCCCAAGATTCCTACTGCTGACAGTGCTGCTTCGACCAGTTCCCTTCTGCCTAACCAAGAAGAACTTCGTCAGAAACGTTTGGCAGCTTTGGACAAATCAAATTCTGTGACGGCTGCAACTGCAGACAAAGTGGTGGAGAGTGGTGCTTCTGCAGGTATTGTTACTCTCTGTTATTTGCTGATTCACATATTGACTTACTCTGTTGTGTGCTAATTTACAAAGTAACTTACTCTATTATATTCTAACTCAGCAGTAACTGTCTCAGTTATGTGCTAATTCTGTAGTAACTTACTCTGTTATGTGCTAATTCAGTAGTAACTTACTCTGTTATGTGCTAATTTAGTGCTAATTCTGTAAATTCGTAGTACTTACTCTATATGTGCTAATTCTGTAGTAACTTACTCTGACTCTTACTCTGTTATGTGCTAATTCTGTAGTGACTTACTCTGTTATGTGCTAATTTAGTAGTAACTTACTGTTATGTGCTAATTCAGTAGTAACTTACTGTTATGTGCTAATTCTGTAGTAACTTACTCTGTTATGTGCTAATTCTGTAGTGACTTACTCTGTTATGTGCTAATTCTGTAGTAACTTACTCTGTTATGTGCTAATTCTGTAGTAACTTACTCTGTTATGTGCTAATTCTGTAGTAACTTACTCTGTTATGTGCTAATTCTGTAGTAACTTACTCTGTTATGTGCTAATTCAGTAGTAACTTACTCTGTTATGTGCTAATTCTGTAGTAACTTACTCTGTTATGTGCTAATTCAGTAGTGACTTGCTCACTTATGTCCCAATGTAGGAGTTATATACAGTATATGATAATGCGGGTATTGTTAAAAATACTTGCATTTCTTCTGTAGCATAGACATTACAAACATGCTTCACAATTCCAAAATACCCGGTTTGATTCAGCTGCATGCAGTTTGGCAGCAGACCACTCTGCCCGGATTTCAACGATGGTATGGTGTGCCAACCATTCAGGAATGATGGCTGAAGGTGACTAACTGCTGGGGGTGTTTCCTATGAAGTTCATCTCGCTGAGATTTGTGGAACTCAGAGTCTCCGTACAAATAAGCCAGATTCTTAAAAATGCATAGGCATGTGGAACTCAAAATTCTGGAGTTGAGTTGAGTTGAGTCAAGAATTGAGATCACAGCACTCAGAGCATTCCCATGCGTGCTCCGTCCTCATCTTCAGCAGCCAGCGCAGAGTTCCAGTACTGATGGTACCGGTCACAATCTGGTTATATGTCCGTCTTGCCTTTCCTCTGAGTGTAGTGAGCCGGCCAGACCCTCTGGTTACACCCAGGTGCCTCGTTCTCTCCAGGCCATAATAATCTTCTTTCTCTACTGATTGCATTGCTTGTTCCCAAAGGGCCTTGACCACATCTGGCTTGTCCAAAATTCTGGAATAAGACCAATGTCCAGAAGTGGACAAACAACCAGAGTTTACAGCTGGTGGACACTGAGAAGAACGTGTGTGTATAAACTATTCAAGTCCTTCGTGATTTCATCATGTGTGTGCAGACTGTACTGTTTCTTTTCAATTGTGTTTCTGTACAGAACTAACAGAGGAGGAACTTCTAGAGAAGGCAATAGAGATGTCCATGGAGAAGAGTTGATGCTGGCAGGGAGGTCGGCTCAGCTGTGTGACCTGTGATATACCTCTTGTCATATCATTGTCTCAGACTTGTCTCTACATTTGCACTGACTCCAACTCCATCTTTCTTCATTCATATGTTTGTTGTCAGCTAGAGTTTTAGGACAATTTGCATAGAAGTATGAGAGTATTTATCTGAATTTATGACAGTTTAAAAATCGTTCACGTAAGAGGTGGAAGAAGTATTGAGAGAAAAATTCATCTCTTCGTTTTGCTGTATTCATATATTTCTTGTCAGCTAGAAGTCTGAGAACGAACAAAGAAGATTTATCTAGAAGAATACAATGATTTCTACAGAAGTGTGGGATGATTTCTGAAAAAAGTTTTGTGATGATGTCACAGCCTAGCTGTAAACCACAACATGATGTGCTCACCACCCTGTTTAGAATGAATGCAGAAGAATAATGTTTCTGTTGTCACATCTTACAGTTCTAGATTTATGTACAAGCAGGGAAATGTTTTTATAGGAAAATTCTTTATCTGACTTCATGACAATTTTAAAAGATGACAGAGAAGTAAAAATTGTATACATGGGGGAGATGAATGGTCGTAGACCACGAGGCAGACCAAGAAGACGATGGAGAGATAATATCCAGTCAAACCTTGGTGTCATCAACTGGAAAGAGAAGGCCAACCAGAGAGATGAATGGAGGCGGGTGATATTTGCAGCAATGAACCTCAAGGGCTCGGAATGCTGAAGAAGAAGAAGAAGATGACAGTTTTAAAGTCCTTCATGTAGAATGCAAGGGAGTTTACTCATAAATGACTTCCTGTCTCAAAAGGCCATGTCAGTTGTCCTGATGGTCTGGTGAGAACGATGATGGAGGGTAGTTTCAGGAAAACGAGGCAGGGGCAGACCTCCACAAAGACATTGAAGATGAATTGGCTATGGAGGCACACAGGGCTGGAGAATTGGCTGGAGAGAGAGAGACTTTCAGGTGTGCAGTGTTGAGGGAAACGTTGTGTAAAGGACATGCTGTTTGATGATGAGGAAGCAAGGTAGCATGCAGTGAAAATTTCACGTTCGCAGGTTTTACTGAAAAAATGATCCCAGATGGGGATTAGCAAGTTGTACACAGAATACAATCCCAGATGGGGATAAGCTAGTTGTACAAAGAATACAATTCAGGATGAGGATTAGCAAATTTTACAGAAAATACAATCCAAGATGGGGATTAGCCACTTGTACAGAAAATACAATCCAAGATAAAGATTAGCAAATTGTACAGAGAATACAATCCAAGATGAGGATTAGCAAATTGTAAGGAAAATACAATCCAAGATGGGGATTAGCAAATTGTACTGAAAATACAATCCAAGATGGGGATTAGCAAATTGTACTGAAAATACAATCCAAGATGGGGATTAGCAAATTCTACAGAAAATACAATCCAAGATGAGGATTAGCAAATTGTACACAGAATACAATCCAAGATGGGGATTATCAAATTGTACAGAAAATACAATCCTAGATGGGGATTAGCAAATTGTACACAGAATACAATCCAAGATGGGGATTATCAAATTGTACAGAAAATACAATCCTAGATGGGGATTAGCAAATTGTACACAGAATACAATCTAAGATGGGGATTAGCAAATTGTACAGAAAATACAATTCAAGATAGGGATTAGCAAATTGTACACAGAATACAATCGAAGATGGGGATTAGCAAATTGTACACAGAATACAATCCAAGATGGGGATTAGCAAATTGAACAGAAAATACAATCCAAGATGGGGATTAGCAAATTGTACAGAAAATACAATCCAAGATGGGGATTAGCCACTTGTACAGAAAATACAATCCAAGATAAAGATTAGCAAATTCTACAGAGAATACAATCCAAGATGGGGATTAGCATATTGTACAGAGAATACAATTCAAGATGGGGATTAGCAAATTGTACACAGAATACAATTGAAGATGGGGATTAGCAAATTGTACAAAGAATACAATTCAAGATGGGGATTATCAAATTGTACAGAAAATACAATCCAAGATGGGGATTAGCAAATTGTACAGAAAATATAATTCAAGATGAGGAGTAGCAAATTGTACAGAAAATCCAATCCAAGATGGGGATTAGCAAATTGTACAGAAAATACAATCCAAGATGGGGATTGGCAAATTGCACAGAAAATACAATACAAGATGGGGATTGGCAAATTGTACACAGAATACAATCCGATGGGGATTGGCAAATTGTACACAGAATACAATCCGATGGGGATTAGCAAGTTGTTCACAGAATACAATCCAAGATGGGGATTTAGACAGTGACAAGACTGCCTAAAATCTCATTTGATCAACTAATTTTTTGTGTGTTTTCCATATTAGTTGTTCTTGACTGTAGAAACTCAAAGGCAACTAAGATTTTGCTGAAATTCAATATGTTGGACTGAAAGGCACGTATTTTGCAGCCTGGATGTTTAAACCATAATCTAGTACCTCATCCGCTCTTTTTAAGTTGAACACAGATGAAGATTTCAGGTGAGTTTTCTTGTCGACTGATAGTATTTTTTAAATTTCTGGTATAAATGTTACCAGACAGATGACGGAATCATGAATGAGGTCAAAAGAGAAGTTAGCGGCACAGAACCATTTCTAAATTACATTCAGAGACAGTTTTTTTTTTTTTTTTTTCATCGAACACCGGCTGTGAATTCCAGTGGAAGGTCAGGTAATCGTCCGCTTGGACTTTTGGCTTTCACCTGGACCTGATTTTTGCGTGTACAACCGTTTTTCATTTCCCTGCCTCATGGGCAGCTGTACGCCGACTTCGAAGGAAGACGTCAGGCCTATTTCTAGGGTGACTGTGGCCATTGTTTTGTGTGGGTCGAGATGTTGCCTGATTTGTGTGGTGTCCACATTGTCTCCTTTGCCGCAGGTATTGCCCCCGGAGTACCCCTTTGGGTCAGCCCCCTGTGGAGCAGTTAGCCCTCAAGGGAAGGCAGGGGCAGATCATGGGCATTCCCCGCCATCCGAGGAGGCATCCATGCATGCAGAGCCGGCACATGGCGCTCTGGTTCTGGGCTCACCCAAGGAATCGTCACGTCCTGCACATGCCTGCTTAACCTCACAACCGTATCAGGCCTCCCGCTCGACAGGGGCTGCGCCCTCTGGAAGTCAGCGGGGAGCAGCCCGTGGGTTTTGGACTTTTGTGACCACACAGATAGGTACATTCTTTTTTCTTCGCACGTTAGATTTCTTTGACGAGCCGTTAGCCCGACAGAATTTTACATCCTGCTCCAGGCATATCGTATCAGTTTTGTCCCAACACTCGGGCGAGTGGGGTCTTTGGGTGTGGACATTCGGTCTTTTTCAGTTCAATACAAATTTTGAGGGCAGATTTTGATCCGTATGATCTAGTTTTGTCGGACATTTAGGCTTAGCCATCCGATGGATGGTTGCTGTTATGGTGTACCACAGCGCGGTGACGACGACACTGAGGGTTAACCAAGGATGTACATGAATGGCCAGCCTATGGATGGTTGCTGTTGTGGTGTACCCCAGCGCGGTGACGATGACACTGAGGGTTAACCGAGGATGTACATGAATGGCCAGCCTATGGATGGTTGCTGTTGTGGTGTACCCCAGCGCGGTGACGACGACACTGGGGGTTAACAGAGGATGTGCAGTGAACAATGTTCTCTTTACTCCGCAGTCTTTTAACCAAGGGTTGTAATTTTGGCTGTACGTTTGGCAGACCTACTCATGTTCCTAATGAGTTATAATAACATTTTTCACCCAAGCGTTTGGGGGCGGGCTGATGAGTGCCACAAGGACACATCACCTCTGGGGGCCGCCAAACTCCGAGATCCCCTGACAACTCTGTTAATGCTCATTTGAGACATTATCCGTGGCGCACGACGAGGACGTGCTGCCGGGGTCTTGCGTGAGGTTCCGTACAACCAGGATATTAAAGGACTGGCGCCCGAGTGACGTACGGAGTATCTCCTTATACACATCATGTTGGACTTAACTTCCCCTCACGCCTGTGACATAAATCACCGCGCCACATTCAGAGACAGTAAATCAAACGGTTTATCCATTTAGAGAGAATGTTTTGTGATGTCATACCATACAAGGGATACACCAAAAGAGGAGAATGATGTAGAACCCAAGATAAACCAAGAACAAGATGGAAAGATAACATCAGAGAAACTCTACAACAGCATGCTCTGTCTGTGGATGCGGTGGCCACAAGAGCATGAAGCAGAATCTTATACCTCCCTCAAAACCCTAAGTGGTAAAAGATAAAGTGAAAACAACAAAAAGAAGGAAGGTGATTCCCCATGTGGATTCTAGGGCCTGTTGTGGACAAACAAAAATAGACCCACTGCGTCCCCAACAAGCATGTCTTAAGAGTCGACTGATTGGGAGGTTCCTTTGAAGTTAAAGTGCATCTGCCTGAGAGTCAAGGAACCAGCTGTGGACATACAAATAAGCCAGATCTGTAAAGTAAGTGCACACAACACTCAGGTTCTGGACCAAGACCAAACTCCTAAGGTGGACAAACAACCAGAACTTTCCTCTGGAGTTAACAGCTGGTGAATGTGAAGAAGATGCAGTCTAAGGAAAGAAAATGGTGTGCCTTCACCACAATGGAAGTTGGCTACAGTGGGTATGAGCATCCACTGTTGCCTTTGGAAGTATTGTGAGGTGGAGGCCATATTGGGGTGAGTCCGGTTCTGAGGTGAAATTGTAGTGTCACAGTATAAAGTTGTGGTTGAGGGAAGTAAAGTTGTAGTGCCACAATGTATTGTTGTCATTGAGGGAAGTAATGTTGAAGTGCCACAGTGTATAGTTGTGGTTGAGGGAAGTAAAGTTGTAGTGCCTAGTGTATAATTGTAGTTGAGGAAAGGAAAGTTGTAGTGCCACGGTGTATAGTTGTGGTTGAGAGAAGTAAAGTTGTAGTTTCACAGTGTATAGTTGAGAGAAGTAAAGTTGTAATGCC